ATGTGATCTGCTGTGTGAACTTCATACGACCCAAAAGTGTCCCGCATGCGCAGAAGAGGACACGACGACGTCACACGCAGCGAGCGTGCTCAGTGTTTAAGTAAACATAGATGGTAACCGATGTTGGAAACAGAAGTGTGAGCGCTAACTAAACTAGCATAAGCAGCCAAGTACTGCCTGTGTGTTCTGGACACTTCCACCCCGTCAGAGCGCTGCCCCGGGGTGGAAGTGTCCCTCGACCTCGCTGAATATTCTGATATTCATCATTAATTGGGCCTGAATATCCAGAGAGCAGAAAGTGCTATTGGGACCAGCCCTACTAGTTATTATAACAACTATGAACAATAAATATTAACAACTAATGAGCCTTCCAGCATCAAGCCCTCCTTGTATCTGGACCTCCGTCTTGACAATCCAACAGCCTTGCTATCTGACATAAAAGAAGGTTTTACATTTAGTGTCGGGTTATCGAGTCACGACTGTCCATCCTCAGGTTGGCGTTTACACCACAACAGATATGTGGTCAAACGTGCTTCAGACTGCCACCGTTATTGGTTTAAGTTGTCGGATCACATCTTGAGAGTTGTTTGTACTTTATTCAGCGCTGGCCACTCGTGATCCGATTGCACAGAGCAGATTTTAAAACCGAGCGTAAACAGGATCTAAATTCTGCTTCGACAACAACATATGGTGGAAATCTGATTGGAGGTGGCAGTGTTAATCAGATCTTACCACGCTGCCTATAATTTATAGGACTACGACTTCAAAGCAAACCTATACTACACTTTTTCCTCCAGTTTCTGTTCTTCTCCGCCTCGTTCAGGATTGTTTTACTACCAAACCCTCTGTTCACATGATCTTTTACAGTGCATTGGATGTGACAACCACCTAAACGAAAGAAACTAAAATGAATAAGGCTGGATCACTGTATGAAATCCACAGTTATTTTGAACAAGAACAAAGAACCGGGCTCTCTCTATGTTTTACGCCATGTAAGCTTGTAAGAGTTCCAAGTGCACAAAACTAATGATTTGCATTTACTTGCATAAACTCAGCAACAGTCAGTCTACTGAATGTGGTGGTAAAAAGTCGAACATCATCTCGTCTGTGTGGTTGTTCTCTGTTCAATCTCAACCATTAGCTGTCATGGTTGCTAAAGATAAACTTTGAAATGCACCTAACATGGGATGGATCCATAGTCTTCACAGTCAAAAGCCATTGAATTCCTTGGTTCTGTTCACAAACTGGCCCGCTAATTATCTGCCAGATATTTCCCTGTGGAACAAAAGGAAACACATCAGAGAACGTTGGGCCTAAAATGTGTTTGTCAGCGACGTATTGTGATATGTTAACTGACCTGCAGCAAATCTCTTCTTGACCAACGATAGCCGATATCCAGTCCCAACCAGCTGGATGTCGCAGCCTGACAGAGTGCTTCCCTCGCTGGTGAACTGGACCGCCAGCTGGGAGGGTTTACAGGGACCTTCTATCATCTGGAACCGGCCCAGTAGAGCCCCGACTCCTGCAGAGCACAGACAGTTCAAAACTCCGGCCTCAAAGCAAAAAGTTGTTAACGAGGTGTGTCAGAAAAGTTCCAGGACTGGCGTCACAGAAGATATGTTTCGAACCCAAACTAGACGATCAACCAGCACGTCTACACAGAGATCCGTTAGCTGCGGCAGGACCAGTGGTGGCTGCTTCACCATGACAACACGCCTGCTCACAACACCCTGAGCATCCCACAGTTACTGGCTGAGAAGAACATCTCCGTGCTGGAGCAACCACCCTGCTCACCCCACCTGGCTCCGTGGGGTTGTTTCCTCTTCCCCAAGCTCAGGGGGGTCATCAAGGGGACCCGTTTAGAAGACGTGGACGACATCAAGATGGCTGTGACGACGGAGCTGCAGAGGATCCTGGAAGATACCTTCCAGGAGTGCATGGCGGCGTGAAGAGAAGGCTGGGAAAGTGTGTTAGACTCCTGGGGGATTACTGCGAAGTGGAAAACTTGAAATCTGTCTTTTGTGACGTCAGTCCTGGAACTTTTCTGACACACCTCGTTTTGTAAGTGAGTTTTTAAAATCCCAAGCGAGTAACAATGACAAATGAAGATTAAAAACAAAACAAAAATGAACACTTGCCTCCATTTTCAGACCTGTGAGACAGGCTCGATAGTTTCCACTGTATCGTCTGTTGCTCTGGATTCCTTTATGACAAAATATGTACAGGTTACCGAAGACATGGTAGTGTTGATACGCAATCAGCTGCAGGAAATAAATAAGTCCCAAACCCATGTTTAAAACTTGAAAATCCTATTTTCACAAGTTTTTTTGTCATGAAAGCTATTTTGTTTAGATGTCATGTCAATGTTCGTTCCCATGCACTGGGCCTTTAGCTAGCAGCTACACACATCACACTACAGTACAACATAAGCAGCACCTACAAGCAGACAGGTGGTAATAATGCACAAAGTCAGTTCATAGCTTCTAAACAGCCTCTAGCTTGACCTTAGCTTCTCTGCATGAGCTTGCAGAACCAGGCCAACATGTCAGGAAGCCTCACCAGGTGGCAGGTGGGATCATGGCCTGCAGCTTGGCTATGCCTCCGTCCACAGGAACCAGGAAGTGGATGTTGTGAAGCGGCACGGGGGCGGCCATGGCCTCGGTGTTGTATTTGTAGTCTATTCTAAGGTCCGTGTTGGTGGCATCGCCTCGCCAGCTCACTGCCAGGTTCAGAGGGGTGGACTGGATCCCCTCCGTTGACACCTGAAGGGAACAGACCAGGAGGACAGTTGGACACAATGCAGACGGATACAAAAGACAGATTAACAGGATTATCTTCTTTTCCCTTTGAGGCTCTCCTATAAAGCTTTGACCGGGGAAGGACGGGCAACAGTTGCTGTTTGCACTCTCCCATCTCAGCCACTGAAGCTTTTAACTCCTTCAGAGGAGTTGTAAGTGTCCTGGTGGCCTCCATCGCATGTCTCTTTCTTTGAAGATGACCATGTGCCATATTCCTTCTATTTCTTAATAATGTACGTAACTGTACTCTGAGGAATATTCAGTGACTTTTTCTTGCATCTATCCCCTAAATTATGCTTGTCAACAACCTTTTGATGGAGCTGCATGGCGTTTTCTTTATCCTTCGTGGTATCACCAGGAGTAGAGCTTCACCAGTGACGGATGTTTGATATTTTTCTTAACTGATGTCACTTTATCAACATCTTTTTTCTACGGTGGCCGACGGGGGCAAATGAATGTGTTGCATGAACAGAAACGCACTGAAAAAAGAAAACGCTGCATATCCAGTCACACAACGGAAGTGCCACAGGCCTCTGGGGGCAGTAGTGAGTTCTTCACCTTGGAGGAAGACAATAGTGAGCGAGACAAGTGAGAGAAAAGCTGGATGAGAAGGTTTGTATTCTCTCATCTCCATGGATAAACATAAATAAAAAAGAGAACACAGGGAGATGGTGGTAAAACTCCACTTTAGCACCATAGAATCACAGTGGCTGAAAAACTAAAGACCTTAGAGGCCTGTGGCACTTCTGTTGGGTGACTGGATATGCAGCGTTTTCTTTTTGCAGCGCGTTTCTGTTTATGCAACACATTCATGTACATGCAGCTCATTTGTGTATATGCATTTGGCCCCGTCGGCCACCGTAGTTTTCACTTTGACATAAAAGAGTTGGGTTTCTTTTGCCGAAAAGGTTCACAATTCCTATCCAAAAAAACAAATTAAGTTGGCCATGGCTCAATGTTTAAAATTAATATCAGGGAAAACCTCATGGATAAAATATACACAAAAAACAAAGGTCGGTTTAAAGGCATTTCTGAGTTTCTGACCCCAACATTGTGGAGAAAACGTTAAAACTCCCCAACCTGACTGTATCACTGAGCTTTCCCTTTGAGCAAATAGGCCACCATAGTGAGTCTGGTACCTGATATTTGATCATATCCACGTTGTAGTACGTCGCCTGAGGCTTCTGTTCAGCCACTTTCTTCAGATGGCTCATCAAGTTTGGCATATTTACCCAGAACTCCTTGCTGTCTACGCTCTCTGTTACGGAGTCACTGAGGGATGAGAGCAACATATTCGATTCAGGCAGTAACACGATGAATTATGTGAGCATCGCAACTAGGTATTTACGTACGTATTACAAAAACAAATAGCGTCTGTTGTATCGTATACATTTGCCTGTAATGCTACTCTCACCAGCACAGCAGCTGTGGATTGGGGAGGACCTGCTCCAGTCGGCTGAAGTTGCTGATGCTGAAGGTGAGGATGGGTTGAGTTGGGTGGCTGGCAAAGTGCCGGGTTATACCAGCAGGGAAGGACAGCACCATCTCCCCTGTGATCTTCACAACACATCTGGGACAGAGAGATGGAGCTCAGACCAAACTAAAACAGACACTCCCACGTTCCCTCTGGTATCAGAACTCTACGGTCCATTTCATTCCAACTCACCAAACCCTCACCGCTCATGTCACTGATTTTCTTAAGAAGATAAAAACTTGTATTAAGTACATGGGCCACTGAAAAATCCTAAAGCTCTGCCAAATGCTGGTTCGGGGTTTTTTGGGCAGTGTAAGATAAATTTAATCATTTTTGTGATTCCTTCCAAGTTTCACAAGTCGCGTGTTTGTTATTAGACTGAGTTGGAATATGAACTAAATATCCATGAAATCCTGAGGACAATAGTTGCAGCCAAAAAAATAATAATTCTGCAATATTTATATAATTACCAATAAATAACTTTTATCCAAACAAAGAATCTTCTTTTTTAAAATTAATATCCTAAGCAATGTTACATTATTTGTAAACTGAATTTAGATTCTGAGTAGCATTAGTTCTATCATATCTACAAGTTATTTGTGCCTGCATAAAAAAATCACTGCCACAGATCCTCCTAAATATAGTTTGAGAGCTGAAAAAACGTTTTTTAAAAAAAAAAAAAAGTATTCTAATTTATTTAATATTGTAATATTTAATTAAATTTATTTTTCTATATTTTCCCAAGATGAGTGATTTTTTTTTTTTTTTTAAATTATAAATGATAATGAATTGCAGATATATACCAGATTCAAATATATTACTCCTTCATTTAAGAATTATTTGAAAATAGCATTTTTTTAAAAATTAAATGTTCCTATTTTTCACTGGGTGTTATCATCCATTTAGTTTTATTTCATAGGTAGGTTTATATATATAATTATTATTTTATATATTTTTTAAATTTTATATATATAATTATATATATATATATATAAATTTTATTGAATTTTTTAAATAAATCTCTGTGTGATACTATATTATACCTATTTTATTCGGTACATCTGTGAAATATAATGCAAGTCAAAATAACAGTTCTGCCATAAATTTGACTTTTCTGAAGTTTCAACATTTTTCTTTTTCTGTTTATTGATTTTAGTCGAAATATTCAACTAATTAGTTTTAAAAGACTTTCGACAAAAAGACTTCTCCCCAGTTCACTTTAAAGTTTCCTCTGTCTGTATATGTCAGCAATGCAGTGTTTGAAGCGCCTAAACAGTCAATTAAAAATAAATAAAAAAACAGCTTTTGTCCCATTAGTTTTTAGTGCCAGCGTGAATCCATACTGAGAGGACGTCAGTGTAACGTAGACCTACTTGCTGGGGTCAGCGCCTTTGAAGTAGGCATTGATGGTTTCTGTGAAGGCGGCTGCCACCGGCAGAGTGTCCTGCGGCCCCATGGTGAGCGGACTGGGTCCTCTGGAGCATCCTGAGACACACATAAGCACAAAAGGTCTTTAAAACATCTGCATGCAAATGTTTTTAATGTCTGTTCTCATCATTTATACTCTAGCTGCTTAAAAGTTGAGTCATGGATCACACCTAGATGGTAGCACATGAAACAAAATAAGAAAAGCAAACAGATTAAAGCAGAACTGAACCCTCGGTAATAAATGTGGATTCTAGGTGAGTGAGCAGGACATGGGATGGGGATGGGCTGCAATACTTTGATGAACACAGCAGGTGATTAAAAACAGGACAGGTGCTTTAAGTCCATGCACTGGTGGAACTACGGTAGCGCTGAGGCTCGACTCACCTTCGAAAGCTAAATAAAACCTGCCGTGGTCAAACCATACCAGAGGCTGAGAGGCCTCTGAGCGAGACATGAGGAGGAGAGAATCATGGAGAGGGACAAGACCGTGAGGTGAGGACACGGCGATGAGCGACAGACAACACGAGGACTCAGACTGAGATGACAACGAGGAAGAGCGCAGCTGGTGAATACCTGTGGTGGACATGTTGAGGTCCCTCCCTAAGGTCGGAGTGGACGCTGCACTCTGCGAGGTAATGGAGGAGATGGAGGAAGAGCTCTCAGCCCGGGCCAGAGGGGCGAAAGGCGGGGGGCTGCCCGAAACCGGTGGACTGAACGGCCGAGTCTGGAGACAAGAAGACGTAACTTGAAAAGACACGTAATCAAAGTAAGTGTCAAAGTGGTAGACACATGAAACAGAGCGAAGACTGACGCATTCTTCACACAGAATTAATAATCAGCTTTTCTTTATTTAAACATCAAAAGAGAAGAAGAACAAACGAGAGAGTCAAAGGAAAGAAACGAGGCTTAACATGTACCAGGTCTGTGATTGGTTTCCCCGGGGGCAGCTTTGGTCGCGAGGACGGACGGGGAGGAGGAGGCGGAGGGACCGGGCTGCCTCGGGACTGAGGCGTGGCAGGACGAGCTGGAGACGAGGGGCCTGCGGCACATACCAGGGTCTGTGGTTAGCGCTGCCTTCAGATCACAGCGAGACACATTTTTATTTAGCTGCCACATTAGCGGCCTCCTCGCTTTGGGCTTTGGGCCTGTTCACATCAGCTCAGTAATGTTTGGAAAGAGCTCTATCTGGTTCTGGGATGAAAGAAAGGTGTTGTAGGTTCTGATTCACGCAGAAATCTGTGGCAAGATTGTACCACTTGATATAAAGGATCCTGTGCTTTAAATAAAGGTCTGATGTGTGACGCCCGTCGTCGTTGATCACCACTGAAAGGCTTGTACACTGTCAAATTGTGCAATAAGAACAATTCTCTTTCATATTTGCTAAAATATAAACATCTGTAAAGTCGTGTGTCCACATTTTGCAGCATTATACTACAGCTATGTCTCTCTAAGTTTCTGAAGGTGATGGGTCTCCTGCTTCTGTCTCCTACGACATGAAGGAAATACTGTTGTTGTTATTTTACAATCACAACACTAGAGGTCAGCGAAAGCCCCATTTACCCACAACTGTCCAACAATTCCTTGTTCTTCCAGTGGGGGATTGTTAGTTTTCTACGTCATACTCACCAAACTGTCCGCACAGAAACCCAAACATCACTTACATACAGAGCAGAGAGATACTGATTTCAGTCTTCAGCGAGCTCTGCAGACTGTTTAGTTTGTGTTTCTGTCCAAACTTTGGCAGAAAACTGTCAAATCGTTGCTGAAGGTGTGTTAAAGCATCTTTCTTTTCCTGTGTGATTTCTACAGTAGCACTATTATTCTCACCCAAACAGAGCCGAGTACTCACTGCTGCCTGAGTAGGGCCCCGGGGAAGACATGATAGACCTGTAGGTGGTGGGAGGAAGAGGAGGCGGCGTTCCCCGGAAGCTCGGCGTCAGCTCCCTGGGAGAGCCCACGAAGTCCGGTATGTCATCTCTCAGGTACGAACCCTCCGGAGTCCTCTTCCCCCCCAGGACCAGAGGGGAGATGACTCCTGCCCGAGGGGACCGCCGCTCCGCTGGCAGAGGAGGCACGGGGCTGATGGGGGCGGGGGAGGAGCAGTACTCCGCGAACTGCAGCACCTCCTCGTCGATCGCCTCCTCGTCGAGGCACAGAGGAGGTGAGCTGGAAGGGGAGAAGTCGGGGGGTAAGGGAGGGGCAGGTTCGTCCGGAGGAGGGGGTCCGAGCACGATGGAGGGGGGCGAGTCTGGCGGCGTGAAGGGAGGAGGGGAGCCGGGGGAGAACGGAGGGGGTGAAGGTGGAGGTTCGTTGGGCGGCGGTCCAGGGGAGAGGCAGGGGGTGGAGGGGGTGGACGAGGGGGTGTCTGGAGGAGGGGAGTCCGGCGGCGGAGGGGGAGCGGGTTCGTCGGGGGGCGGGGGCCGGTCGTCGGTGAAGGTGACCCATCTGGGGGACACGGTGTCCTCGCTGGTCCGGGGGCTGTCCACGGGGCCGAACACGTCGTCCAGGTCGGGGGCCGGGGAGCCTCGGTAGGAGGCGGGGGAGAGGACGTTCAGGTAGATGGGGGCAGAACTGCGAGTCGCCCTTCCATTGGGTAGATCAGCTGCAAAGAAAGAAAGAGGCATTAAAATCAGATCTAACTGCGTGGCTGATATACAATCCATCCATCCATCCATCCATCATCTCTACACCTTAATCCTCACTAGGGTCGTGGGGGGCTGGAGTCTATCCCAGCTGACTCAGGGTGAAGGCAGGTTCACCTGGACAGGTAACCAGTCTATCACAGGGCTACACTTAGAGACAGACAACCAAGCACACTCACATTCACACCTACGGACAATTTACAATCACCAATTAACCTCAGCATGTTTCTGGACTGTGGGAGGAAGCCGGAGAACCTGGAGAGAACCCACGCTGCATTGGGAGAGCATGGAGACTCCACGCAGAAAGATCCCGGGTGTCCTCACCGGGACACGAACTGGTGACCTTTGAGCTGCGACGGTGCTAACCACCGATCCACCTCGTAGCCCCGATATACAACAAGAGTGTAAAATATAAACCTACCAGCAGCGTCTGAAGGATAGCCATAATGACTTCTTGATGGAATGTTTTTCGGAGGCAGCGGAGGAGGAGCTGCAACAAGGGCGACAGTTCAGCACCACAGCAAACATGGACGACTCGTGTGATTACTTTTAAATATTAATAATTGCATCCAATTACTAGTGCAGCAAAGACAAAGTGAAGTTCAGCTCACCTCCTGTTGGGAAACTTCTGCTCAGCTGTGATTCTGACCGCGGTCTGGAGTCTGCCCACATATCAGCAGGAACCACTGACATTGAATTTGAAAAAATAACAATCAATATCACCTTTGTAAAATAAGTACATTCATTCATGTGGAGCTACATGCTGTTATATACCATCATATCTGGCGTATTTGCTCTCTGAAGGCAGCCCGAAGAAGGCAGGGACGTTCTGCGACAGCCTGTCACTGCAAAAAGAGACAGTCAAGCTGTTATATGTGCAGCAGAACATTAACATACAGTCTCAGTCAAAGAAAAAAGGGGGTATTTAGTGTAGTTTGTCAGGACGACAGACCTTGGCGTCTCGGGGGCAGGACTGGGTGTCGGGGTGGAGCGCCGGGGTCTTGCGATCTCCTCACCTGCAACAAAAAAAGCAAAAACTCAGCTGCTGCTCTGGTGCCCTTTGATTTGTTAGACCCTAAACCAACATGGTGAACGTGCTAAGCGTTAGCATATTAGCATTGTCTGCATAAATGTTTAAGCATTCAGGTTAAAAGGAGGGATGCACGATACTGGGTTTTTGTATGGAGACGTTTTCCATCTGATTTTAGCCAATTGCAAATATATTCAAGTTTTTTTTTTTTCCATCTATTTGCAGAAAACATCAAATCTCTCGTGCAGAAGAATTAACATATTATTGTGCCTGCTGCTACCATAATAGCCTACAGATAGAAAACACAGTGCTTTTCAAAAACACTCACTAAGCAAAGCAAGAAAACTACTTCTATTAAACATATATTTTTTATGACATTTTCAAACAAAACTAGGAACGTTTAACCTGACAATGTAGAGGCAATGCAGATATTCCATTTTAAAGCCTTTCTTGGCCAGTACTAAACCTGATATCATTGTGCATCCATCGCCAAAACACTGCTGAAAGATTTCAAAAAGCTATTTCCAAACAGATATACTTACAGGACAAGTTCCTTTTTATCTGCCCCTGCAAAAAAAAATAAGACAGAATCCAAACAGAAGACAAATTAAGGACATACACTGATATTGGGATATATTGTGAAAGTATACACCTCAAACAGACATCTTAAATCCTTGGACTCAAGATTTTTTTTTCTCAAAACAATCAAAAAACCAGCAACATTAACTGGCACATCACAGACATTGTAGATGTTTTGCTCTTCCTGATAATCCCCTTCATTCATATCAAGCTAATATATTTCTCTAAACACACTGATTTGCTTTAGAAACACATAAACCTCTGAGTTATGTTACTGTGTGTCCCCTTTTTACTTCCTACAACTGCACATTTTAAAACAGGTCAGGCAGCAGCGATCACGGAGCCGTGTTTTGAGGCCGACGGCTCGGAAACAGCCAGCAGATGGAGTGTGAAACTCACCGGACTGCGTCTCTGAGACCAGCAAAAAGGAAGAGAGAACAGACCTGGGTCAGAGAGTGAGTGACAAATCAGTCAAATGGATACCAACTAAAACTGCACACACACCGCATCTCTTTACTTCAACCGCAAAGCCACAATAATAATGCAAAAGACGAGGCCGCGACGCCCTGGAGGTTACGTTGACAGCATCACCTGCGATCCTGTAGCGGATCACTTGCAAGCACCGCTGAGTGCAGATCAATAAGTTTGGATGTGTGTTATGTTTACTTTGCATTATGTAATGCAGACGCTTTGCCAGGCGGGGTTAAGTAAAGCTCTTGCTAAAACGACTTCACAACAAAATGTTTCTCCAGGTCTAAAAAGGCACAAACATAGAGGGTGAGACAGAAAGTTGCATGCAGAAGAAAGAAGGGAAACTAATTTATCACAAGAGGGCACATTTCTATCAAGCACTTCCACCAAGTGGGCGCATGCCATGCAGTGTGTCTCGGTGGTGATGTGACGACGTGTGACAAGCTTACCGGACTTCTCTTCTACAAACGAGTGCGAGAGGAAAAAGACAAACGCAGAAAGAGAAGTTAAACAGATTTGCGACAGAGCCGGTACAAATCAGCAGCCGTGCTCGGTGCCCTTCAGAGCGCTCACCAGAGACGGGGAGAGCGCCAGGCCTCCCACCGAGGCCTTCAGCTCGTCCATAGATGGAGGGGCACACTTGGCGCTGTCCGACACCAGCGGCTTGATCTTGATTTTGAACTTTTTCTTGCTGTCCTCGTCGTCCTCCGAGTCGCTGGAGGAGAAAAAGTGCTTTTCTTTGGAAGCTGGTGAACGCTTGTCAAGGGCAAAGTGGAGCGAGTGTGATGCGCTTTACAAAAAGACCAATTCCACCCTGCGCGGGATTTAAAGCCGAGACATCCGCTAACGTCTCAGTCTGCCGTGTCCCAGTTAGAAAGTATCATACCTGCTGTAACTCACACTCGGCTAAATCATCCTGCTCATGGGAAGCCTCCATCGTGAGCTCTCTGTGATTCCAATTCGGACCTATAGCTGCTGACACCTGCGGGAGAGACAACCTAAAATACCAGCGTGTCAGTGCTTAATGAGACTGTGGCTTAGTGGCAACTAGAAAGCCAATCCAAATGTAATGTGCTTCTATCCGGCTGCCCCACTGCTCCTTTCTTTTTTTTGCTGTTTTTTGTATTTTTTGGCACCGCAAGGACACACACACATGCGGGGACTATTGATTTGGCCTATTTAATGCTGAGAAGCACTCAACCAATGAGTCACTCAGCCAAACAGGTCAATAGTTCTGCAGGCGAAGAGTCCCCAGACCTCCTCGCTGAAAGGATATCATCGCCCTCATCGCCGGGCCGGAGGCTGAAGCCCTCCTCGTCCACGTCAGGAGAGGCCTGCAGAGAAGAGAGGAGAGAGGTGGCACTCATTCCCAGCCCATCACTGTAACAGAGGCCCCCGCTGAACTCTTCAGCGCTGCATAGAAATGCAGATTAGATTTCACAGATGTCTTGCCCGAGACGCTCAGCTTCCTGGCGGAGGCTCCTGCTGACTCACTGAATATGCAGCTATCACTCTATTTGCACAGTTTACTCGGTAATTTTAAACCTCGCGTCACATGACACCGAGTGCAACAGCACGGTGGAGTGTTTCGTGCCAGAGCTGCAGAGTTGTTCAAAAACATGAAAACGAAGGAGTTCAAGAAAAGCACGACGTAGATACTCACATATCTGTCCCAGTCAATCTCCCCATAGAAACCATTGGGAGCCCCGTTGGCTTTTTTCTAGCAGCAAAAATGGAGATGAAATCATAAAAAAGAGGGCATTATTATAAAGTGTAGATTCTACGTGTCTGTGAAGATTCTCAGTCATCCAGGTCATGGTTATTCTCGTAGTTTAATCGCAGGAGCTGGACTCGCTTGAGTTCCTTGAAGACGTTCCACCTTCATCCAAGAGACTTCATCAGGTCTGACTGACGAGTTGGGAGTTCCAGACATCCTTAAGGAGACATTAACACTTGAGTTTCGGTTTCAACCGGGGGTTTGTTGCTCCTCGGTAGGATTCCCCCTACCACAATGGGGTTCGTGGCTCGGTGACTCCCAACTAGTCAGTCAGAACCGATGAAGCCTCTTGGATGAGAGGTGGAACGTCTTCAAGGAACTTAAGCAAGTGTAGCTTCTACATTTGTATGAACACATAATGAACAACTAGTTGGCCCATCCCAAGTAATGTTAGTGCCATGCCATCGATTCTGATCATGATAACCAGCTGAACACAGGAAAAAAAAAACCACGATCCCTTAAAGGAATTATTAGCTCCTCCACAACACACTGACCAACTATCAGTCTAATGAAGCCACCACGCTGTGCTCTCCTCTGATGAACAGCATCACACCACCCACAGAACAGAAACATGAGCAGAAACACTTTCACCGCCGTCTAAGATGTACGCACATTTCCCTTCTTTCCACTTCCGGTTCCTTCTTTGTCAGGTGAGCTCCTGTTTCGAGAAACAAAGAGAAGGAAAGCATGCAGTGAGCACAGATTTTCAGTCTGCCTGTGGTCTCAAAACTGGAGTGTTTTAAATCATTTCATACAAGTGCAACAATATTTGATAAGAGCTGATATAATATTGTTATATTCAAGATAACTGAGACATACTTTCTTTAAAATGTCTTTGTTTTATGTATAAGGTAACTTCTTATGTGTCAAATAGTTTGGTCAAGAGTACTTTGGTTTTCATTCTCAAACTAATTACTTCTAGCCGACAAATAAGTCGTATCATTAAACAGAATATGAAGATGCGTCAGGTCATGTTGCACGTTGGAGTGAGTTGGTTCAATCTCAGGAGCAGTTTTGCTGTAGCTGGGTGCCCAGTTTGCAAATTCCCGCAAAACTATGAGAGGACGGGAATGTTTGCGAAGGTAAGACGGTACCCAATTACCAAAATATGGAAATTTCAATAACATGCAGTGATGTGATCACAGGCAGTGAGCTTCATCAGTCTTTAACACTCAGACATGCACTTAGTTCCAAAATGAGATAATTTAAATGTGCTGGTATGTGACAGGACGAAGTGTATCAAAGTGTGAAATATACACAATCACATGGATCTGCTCCTGCTTAGTTCGTCCAAACACTGTTGCTTAGGATCTTTCTCCCTGCCATCAGATTTAACAGACTTATCAAATCAAACAAACCTGACAAATCAATGAATATGAGATACTTAAAAAACAAGACAAATAAAATGTAGTAAAAACAGACAGAGAGTTTCCAGTGTCAGTGAAGGAGGAACATTTGAAGGAAAGAGGAGGTTTATTCCAAAGCTTTCGAGATGCTAAAGGCGCGATCTCCCCCAGGCCCTAACCCTCGGTCGTGGCTCTAACCAACTTTTTAGCCAAACCAAAGATAAGTATGCAACCGGCGTAGTGGGCGCACATAACAGCTCCTCAAAAGAGAGAACCAACATGCAACAACGTGCAACAGCGCGCAACATCGACTTCAACATTCTCTTTGCATCTTCCTCGAGTCTGAGCAAACTCACGTCGTCTCCGTGTCCTTGTCTTTTCTTCGTAAGCCCAGGGCTCTCCTGGTTCGGTTTTTCAGTCCTGACACACACAGAGAGGGAGTGGGAGAACAACATCATGAAGAATTAATTTAAAGTTTTAGAGCCCAATATAAAGTTAACTATCTTGTCATTAAAATGCACTTAGAAGCAAATCACGGTGAAGAGTAACAGGCTGGTGTATTGTAACCCGAGGATGAACACATCCTTGTGGATTCGCACAGGAAATACAGCAACCCCGCGACGCTGATATAAATTAATGTATCGATTGGAGCAAACTCGCTGCCATCTGGAGAGAGCCTCCACATAAAATGAAGCAGTGCTGCTGATGTAATCCCCCTAAGTGTCCCCTTCCTGACTACATAAAATGGAAAGGAAACACAAGCAAAGGTTGATCAATGTGTCCACTTCATTAGCGAGATCCGAGGGAGAGCGGGGAGGGAGATCTACTACAGCGTCCCGTCGGCCGAGCCCGATGCCAAGACGCCCGCAGCAGTGGCGGTTGGCAACGTGCAGCGAGGAAATCAGGATGACTGAGAAGCCAAACAAAGAGACACATCTCAGCGTGTGAAAAACCTAAAGCTTCCCCTGTACAAGTCAATGACGCCGGCTTCATTGTGCTGCTGCATCTGTGCGCTTATTCAGAGTTTGCTGTGTCACTAATTTGTAAGACCAATCCACAAATAAAAGACAATTCATAACAACAAACCCTTCGTTAGTCAATTTTTTTCTACTAAACAGACAGAAAATAGACATATTTTTAAGCAAAAATCACAGATATTGTCTCTGCTGGTGAATTTGAGGCTTGCCAATGAGTGTCAGATGGAATATGAAGATGTAGGTGGAGTCTGAGAGATGAAAACATTTGCTGAATCACGGCATACACTGTAGGAGTATTTCAGATTTACAGCCATGCTAGTAGCTCTGTGAGGCTCTGCTAAAAGGCACAGCAATGCTTCAAGCTAACTGCTAACATCAGCAAGCTAACGTGCTAACAATGTCAATTGCCATGTTCACCATATACATTTAGCATGTTAGCATGCCAGCATATTGCCATCTAGCATGTTCAACCCTTATATGTTTAGAAAGCTAGCATGCTAAGATGTGCTAATTAGGACCAAACACAAAACACAGCTGAGCTAAATTATATTTTACTGGATAATAGGCTCGATATTGTGCCAAAGAGAGGACCTGCGATGAATAATCATATTGAAATGAATTAGGTGGTGCTATTTTATTTCTGCTTTAATGGCTACTATGCTAACATGGACCCTAAACACTAAATAAAAAATGAAATAAATGATTTCAAACATGCTTTCATTGAACAAATTGCACATCAACACCCAATTAAACAGAAGATTAATTTAAATAAGACATTACAACTATATCAAGGTTAAATTTCCTTGTGGTTCCCATTGAAATATTTTCTTTTAAACGCAACAAAAACACCTCTTGGTGGTTTTCTCGCCTTCTTCCGCCATCTTGTTTGCTGACCTCACAGTCGACAGCCTAATTTGAGCATAGCCGACATCTAGCTGGGGCTTCATGTGACTGAAATTCAAATGACTTCTTTCATTCAACGCATTTCAGGCAGTCTTCTACGATGGGTTTATTGCCCATGTTCATACCACGATGGTGTTAATATGAAGCCCTTTTGCCTGTTTATTTCCACAAACAAAAAGTCAGAGGAGCACCAAAGCTGGAAGGACTCGTTCTTCGGGGAACATAATGTCTGTACAACATTTTAGAGCAATCCTTCCAACAGATATTAAGATATCTCAGTTCCTATTTCATGAACTTTGCCATCTAAAAAGCCACATCATCTGATTTTGAGTAAACCCAGACTTCTCTTTGGACTGACAGTTAATGAAGTCTAATGAATGAACTGACATCAATAATCCTCTTGCTGCGCTGAGGTCAGAGGTCTGGAGGCTATTTGATTTTATTCCACATGTACCTGTGTGATGCCAGCAGATAAACTCACGTACGGGATAATAAATCACCGCGGAGACCTTTTGTCCTATTTTTTATTTTTGTGAGCATGCTTGTGTATACCAGCTACGTTGTGGAAAGCATTTTGCCAAAAATAGACAACTGACAGGTTTGCATAACTGTGTTTTCGATGACAAGTGAGCACATTTGATTCTCAAATCTACTCAAGAGCAACAGGGACACGTGTGACGGACAGTTGGGCGGATGAACATTTTGTGCTGCTCAGCGGCAGCCGAGGCAGTTTGTGGTTTGTTGGTTTTTTCATCATCTCTTTCTATAATCTGAATGATGTATGATTTAAAGTGGATCTTATGTCCTAAAGAGAGAGATTTCTTTTCAACATACAATCCACTACTAAACATTACGGCGATAAGAGGAGCACAAAAATCCAACTGAATATTGAGTCAGTGATTTGGTGAATCATCACACTCACATCACAATCCTAATAAAACTAATGAAGACTATAAATGTGAAGACTGGTGTTCGGGACATTTAGTGGGGAGGAAGCTCTCTGAGCTCCGACTGAAGGACACGTCAGGGCCTGTGATGTATTAGTCGCTCGCTGTACTGCTCAACAGCAAACATTATTCCTGCACCACGGCTCTTCATCAGCGCAGACAGCCCTGCACCGAGAGCCCTCTCTCCGATCCTAACCCGCATGTGTCTCGTGCGATAAGGAGTAAAAATAAAGTATGAATGCGGCCGACGTCGATGCGTATCAAACCTGCTGAACTGTGCGACACGCGGTGAGCGAGCACAAGCGGCCTGCTCAGGTTGACTGGCTGCGTAGCGATGCAGATCACATCGTGCATGAGAGCAGGATTGTTGTTTTTGTAACCCATTTACAAAGTTTTGCCTGAGGAGAGAATCTTTAAACAGAGCGATCGCAGTAATTAATGATATTAGCTGTAAATATAGCCGAGTTAGGGCTTTTTAGACACATGTGGTTCACCTTTTCACCCCTAACTACAAAGAGCATATACTTTACATTACTGCACACCATTTTCCAGGTTAACACCACGTGCACGCCATCATTCTTCACTACAGTTCCATCTACAGGTGTCCTGATAGACCAGAATTGATGATAACCTTGATCTTTGAAATATAACATAAATAATCCAGAACTAGTTACTATCTGGTTGACACTCCAACATCGCAGGTGGCCGTATTGCACTTTAACTCTGCCAAAAAAACAACTAGCCAGCTACTACTGCAGTTATGTTAATGATTACAGACAAGAGCAAACAGCTTCGCCTTTTTTTTAAAGCAAATTTTCTATACATATTGCGTAGATTCTGTTGGCCACGATAATAAAGAAAATCTGACATCGAGGCAGTCGTAGTCCCATAATTCTGCATCCTGTCTTTAGACAAATGCAAGAAATCCTGGTTAAACAGACCAGTAACTTGTCTTCAATCACTTTGCTGTCGTACGAAATTCAGCTTAACACCAAACCTGATTAAGGCTGGCTACAAACTGTGCGATTTTCACAATCTTGTAAGTTCACAGCTAGCTACGCTGTACGACATGAATCTAATAAACTTTGGGCACAACATGAAGTTTGCCGTGTGGAGATTGCACGATGAAAACACAAACTGAATTGCGGCCTACGATGTGTTGACGTGAATGCGTAAGAATAAAATGTCATAAGCGTGCGCTGTCCATCCACAAAAAATAAACTAGCGAAGTGTGAATGGAGCCCTCACCCTCATGGCATTTATGTGTTTGGAGAGAAATCCCCAAAGAAAGGAGAAGGAGGAGAATGTGGACATGGCTGGTAAAGAGGGGCCAAGTTGAGATGCCAGTTTTGCAAAGACAGCTAGTGTTGTTCAGTACGTCATTTCATACTGTATTGGTAAGTTCGTTGACGCAGCAGTCACACTGTGAGGTGATCACCCCAGATGACAACGGCCGTCTCACAGTACAACATAGGACCATCAATGTAGAGCCAAGACCAAAGACATCTCCAGGATTCTCTCACAATTGCTATCTTTCAGCAGGGATGGCCCACAATCTCACAGTGTGTAGCGGGCTTTAAAAAAAGAAGTCTTTTTTCAAACAACAACTCTCCAATCAACTTTGAAAAAAGTAATTTATAGCTGCTCCAAAATGGCCCTGCACTTACACTGATTAGCTCCAAGAACAAAACCCCCGACAGGTGAAGTGAGTGACATTGATCGTCTTGTTACAGACCCATGCTCTGCAGGTATCAACTGTCTAAACATTTGTTCAGACCAAACACACCTACGCAGGACAACATCACTCCCCAGCATCGGAGGCATCCCTGTTACGCTGCATGAACTACTCAGGAGAGGCTCGAGGAACACGACAAAGAGACCGAGGCATTGACATGGATGCATTGGATAAAGCCCAAACTCCGGAGGCCCAAGACACCAATATCCCATTGCCAGACACCACAGAACACTGCCAGAGGTCAATGTCCATGGTCGGAACAGTTTTAACAGGAGGAGAGGGGCCGGTATAACTTTCTAAATTGAATTCAAGGTCTATTTGCAACATTTTTTCTGGAGCTTTTAGTTGCACATCTGCAGATGAAGGCTACCAGATGAGCTCCAGAAGAGTTGATGCAAGTGGACCTACGGTAAATGTTCTGCACATTTAACCTTCGCTAGATTCTATAAAAGACGCTATAATGTGTTTCTCATTCATGCAGCAGAGCTTTACCGTCTTGCCCAAGGATACTTCCTCGCAACCGCCAACCTTTCGGTTAGTTGGCAACCCCCCTCTACCACCTGACCCACGGCTGCCCCGCATTGACTTAAGACTTCTACAGACAAACTGTTTACTTTAACGCCAACAACGATGCTCCACCATCGCAGCTCATTTAAGTCGCTTTTTTCAGCAAGTGACTCTCAAATCTATGAGGATGAAGTTTGCAATAAACACCCAAACAAACCAGCGTATCGAGTTCTCAAACGAGTTCCTTCTCTCACTGCTTTGAATCACTTCCACAGTTTTTGTAAATTCCTAAATCTATGTTCTATGTTGGGCTGCAAGGTGGAGCGGTGGTTAGCACCGTTGCCTCACAGCTAGAAGGTCGCCGGCTCGCGTCGCGGTGAGGACACCCGGGATCTTTCTGCGTGTGCTTCTCCCCGTGCAGTGTGGGTTCTCTCCGGGTTCTCCGGCTTCCTCCCACAGTCCACAAACATGCTGAGGTTAATTGGTGATTGTAAATTGTCCGTAGGTGTGAATGTGAGTGTGCTTGGTTGTCTGTCTCTAAGTGTAGCCCTGTGATAGACTGGTTGCCTGTCCAGGTGAACCTGCCTTCACCCTGAGTCAGCTGGGATAGACTCCAGCCCCCCATGACCCTAGTGAGGATTAAGAGGTGTATAGATGATGGATGGATGCATGTTCTATGTTGAGTGTAGGTGTATAAATTCTGCTCTTGTGGTTCTTTGCACACCGGTCTGCTAAACAACAAGTCAGTGGCAGAGAGGTTTGTTCTGACCGACGCTTTCTCTGCGTGCTACACTTAGAACTTGTGTTACCTCCATCTTTTGACCTTTGCTGGATATATTTTCTATTCTACAGTCTCCAGAGGCATGGCTACTTTACTTTAACATTGTGATAGCAGCTGGCAAACAAACAAACGGCCGATACAACCACCTCCTGATCTCTTACGCTGGTTTACATCACAGCTCTGCCCTTTCTGGGATATCCAGCCTCTGCACCCACTCACTTGGCTTTTGACCGTGATTCTCCTTTTTAAACGTTCCCAGCGATGGATAGCCTACCTCAGGAAAGTTTCATGTTTCAGCTAGCTGGTTTTTGTCCAGCGCAGGCTTTAACGGCGACCAGAGGCTGCTGGGAAAAAATCCATCTAGTATCTAATGTTATGGTCTGGAAAGTTCTATTATGTGTGAGTGACTTCTGATAAAAACCTCATTTAATTTGATTAGCAATGAAGGTGAACGTATTATGTTGTTATAAAGACGTCAACAGACTGCGTTTGAGCATCTGTAGAACCAGCCATGCATGTGCAGCTGCGATGAGTTTGTGACATCTGCGTTGGACGTGGAGTTCCTCAAGCTTGAGTACAATATCGTGGCAGGCTGACTGCAGGCCTTTTGCTAATAATAGCCACCTTCCATTACCACGTAGGCATAAATGGATGGTAAAGGCCCAGCAACTGTCATGCAGGGTTACGTCTCTGATGTAGCTCCTCCATCACAGTTTGTAATGTGCATTACCTCTTAACTTCTGTACAGCATCTCCTCGCTTTCGGTTTACGCAGCACGGGCAGCAAACACTCTGTGGTTTAGGGATCAGTTGACCTACTGGCTTCTTATAATAGTATCAGGTATGAATGAGTGCAGCTACTCGGACCCTAAACGATTACAGACCTAAAGGCAGAATCTGAACACACAAAGATGCAGTCACGTGTAGAGATACACACAAACACAAGAGGACTGCTGTGAATGTCAGCTCTGCCTTCACACACCTTTCCCAGCTGCATTTCTATTAATCTGCACACACACACACACACACTCATTGTGACACTGGTCATGCATGCAGCTGATCCAGAGGTCCACGCAGCATGACAGCATCCCATCATCCCATCATCCCATCATCCCTGGATCCGCTGGCTTGAATGGCCCAGCAGGACACAAGAGGGCAGGAGGAGGACACGGAGGACCAAGACGAGGGGAAGCGGTGCACAGATGACTTACCTTGCATCATGACTGCAGATTTTCATCCTACGTTGCCCTCTGGTGTGCAGGCGGACAGAAATGGAGAAAATCCGGCCGGTCAGAAGATGCTGCCTGGGCAGGGCATAGCTAATTCCGCACGGCTCCCCCCCTCCTTAAGCGAAGGATGTTGATTTCCTCCACCCCCCCCGAGGGCCTAATTCCCAGACACCCGCACCGGGAGGGAGGTGGTGGTGGTTTGGTGTCGGAGCTGAAAGGCAGCAGCGAGAAGAGACACCCGAGGAGCAGGCTGCAGATCTGGAGGGGGGCAGGGAAAGGGGGTACCTCCGCTGTTAGGCCCCGGACGCCCGAGCAGCACCGACACACGCCATCTCTGAGAGGGGGGATGCTGAGGAAAGGAAGAGGAGAGAGAAAGAGAGAGAAAAAAAAACCCCTCAGAGCGCCACAGAGATAGAGAGGCAGAGAGAGGCAGAGAGAGACTGGGAGAGAGAGAGAGAGAGAGGGGAGGAGGAGAGGGAGGGAGTGGGAGGCTCGCTGATGTCACATCTGCACTAAACCAATCCCTGCAGCCACGGTCACATGGCCGCCGTCCCCTGATGCCTTCGCAGACACACTACAGCCAACTGCATGCAAACTACAGCACACCACAGGATGCACAGTTTGGGAAGAACAAATTAAAATCTGACATTTTCTGAATTTTGCTAGAGCTGATTTCCTGTCTTAAGAATAATAAATACATTTTTAAAAATCAATTAAGATAAGATATGCCTTTATTTATCTCACAGTGGAGAAATTCACATTGTTGTTAGCAGCATTACACATAGAGATACACACATACTAGACAGAAAAATGTACATATAAATATAAGAAATAGTGCAAACAAGTATAAAAGTGCAAACAGAAGATGAGAATGGGCTTATTGGACATATTTCTGTTTTGTTATTGGACATTTTGTGCCATAATTTCCTTACAGATTAAATTATTGATTCCTAAAAGTGGAACAAACAAATAATAATCTGTGCTATATCAATGCTTCTCCCAGTATTTCTATTCATGAAAGCATCTGTGCAATTTTGGTTGATTTTTTTTTTTTTTAAATGTTTGTACTACATTTCTTCATCCTTACTTCTGTAAAACTGCAAATCCCCCCACTGTGAGATGAATAAAGCCTGATTTTATCTTATCTTAATCACATCATACATTCAGATTAAAATGTCTCACATGGTTAAAATGTCAAAAACGAAAAAAGGCTGACCTCAAGCCCTTTTATAAAAATCTAATACTCGTGGATTCTGTCATTTCTGGTCGGTTACTGAACCGCGTGATTTTGTCCTTGACAGATAAAAGCCTTTGATGAAAGGGCCTCGTGTTTCCTGGGGACAGGAGTTTAGTAATATATACCGTATGCTGGGATCAGACCATGCAATACTTCTTTTATACAAATATTCTGTCACCAAAAGTGGACCAGCGAAGGGAGGAAACAGTACACCAGTTTTCTACACATCTTATCTGTAGACGAGGCTTAAAACAGAAAGGCCCAAGAATCACCTAAATATGCTTGTATTTCCTCGTTTGGAGCGCTGTTAAGTTTAGTTTCTCACTTGTTTGAACAAGACTGGGCTCAGCTGGGGGAAAAGGGCTATTTACAGTAGTTCAGTGGCCCGATTTTGTTTTCTAATGTTGTCGCGGTGGTTAGCATTGTTGCCTCACGGCTAGAAGGTCGCCGGTTCACGTCCCGGTGAGTACACCGGGGATCTTTCTGCGTGGATTCTCCATGTTCTCCCCGTGCAGCGTGGGTTCTCTCCGGGTTCTCTGGCTTCCTCCCACAGTCCAGAAACATGCTGAGGTTAATTGGTGATTCTAAATTGTCCGTAGGTGTGAATGTGAGTGTGCTTGGTTGTCTGTCTCTAAGTGTAGCCCTGTGATAGACTGGTTACCTGTCCAGGTGAACCTGCCTTCACCCTGAGTCAGCTGGGATAGACTCCAGCCCCCCATGACCCTGGTGAGGATTAAGCGGTGTATCGATAATGAATGGATGTTGCCAATCAAATCAAATCAAAGCAGGTTAGTTTGGTTTTTCGGGGTTAAAATAATATTGCTGCAGCCTCCAAGTCGACTGGTCGGTCAACATGCTCTCGTCTGAGCTCATCGTGTTGCTATCACGAGGAGAAAAGTCGTCAGTAACCTTCCAGGATGAATCAAACTAACCGTCACCATGTCAGTGAAGTTCTGTTAAAACTGAAGGCCAACAACTGGTGTGTAAAGTTTGTCAACAGCAGTTTGCACATCGCAGCTTTACAACCAACTTATCATCTAATAACATGAGACTAACTTGTCTGTGCTATATTCATCAGTTAATTAATTAATCAGTTCATTCATCCGTTTGTTGTTGTCATCTCAGTATAAATGAAGCAGGTTTAAATAATTTAATATGCTGCAAAAGCTAGCTTTTCGTGTTTATTTACAATTCATTAATGAGGACAACAACACAGGTAGAGTGAACTGTGGCTGATTAATCTAGATATAATCTGCAGACTTTACATACAGACTAGCTACGCTTTCGTTTAACCGGGATTCTTTTTGGTTGACTACAGCCCTATAAATTAATCATAAATAATATCTTCAGGGCACTTTTTTTGTCAGTTAGGACTGTTGTTTATTTGATGTTGTACAGAAAACGGGAACAACACTGACTATAATAAGAGTCTCTTCATCTTCTTTGGGGACATGTTTTTTGGGGGGTTTTTTGGAGCAGGAAAACACTCACTCTTTTATTGATAAGATATCACAAGGAGAAAGCAGTCCTCATCGCTGAAGCCTTTTCTCACGTTTCAGGTGAAATACAGAGAAGCTAACATTTGTTTATCTCCTTATCAGTCACACCCTAATCTTCTCCAATAGTATTTTTCAAACTGTCTTTTTAACATGAATTCCTTTTCAGCCATCATGAATTTATTTCCACTTGGGCAGCAAAAAAAAAAAAAAAACACATTACGCAAGCATTCGGAGACTCCTGCAGGTTACTCTGGACTAACAAACACTTCCACTGCTGGATATCACACTGCGAAAGACTCAAAAACGCTTGCTGGTCTAAAAATGAATTCAAAATGACAACACTGTGTAATTGTCTAGCGCTGAGACGAGCTGCACTTTTTCCAAACCTAATTCCAATAAATTTGAAAAGTTTTCAGGCCTTTATTAGAGGATGTAAATTAAACGTCAGCGACTCGATCAAAAGAGGAGATGTTGCATTTTTGGATATTGTGGATGAATGAGGCGCAAAGGTAGAAAAGAAAACTGAAGCAGAAATCGAGCCTAAGGGCAGCCCGCAGGGTGCCGAAGACGAAGCTGAGCGAGAACTCCCGGTGGAACCTGCATGAAAGGATGAATGTGAAGAAAAAAACAAAGAAGAACCAGGGAGACACTCGAGCTTCAGCCGGTGGATGGCAGTGATGCGGTCTGGAGCCTGAAAGGCTGCAGAGAACAAGACGAGATCGTTTGTCCAATTTTAGGAGGAAGGATTTTAAACACTGACAGACTTTTTTGTCTTTTTTCTTCAGGTTTTTTGTGAAAGCTAGTTTCTCTTGCACTCTGGAAACAAAAACCAAATACTGCACACAGCTGCAAGTCTCAATTGTGTAGAATGCAGAAGGACAACAGTGCATCTGCTCGCATGGAGTCGACAGTCGTCCTCGAAATAAGCTGAAATTGACAAAAGTAATAATAAATCAAAATGTATGAAAATCATGGCATTGCTTTTGAATTGTGGTCCAACAGAAATATAAAAAAAACAAGCAAACAAGCATGATGGGACCCGTAAACTAATATTTCATTGAACAACCCTTTGAGCCAATCACTGCAATCAAGTGTTTTCTGTACCAGTACTTGTTTTTTAAAATTACTCTTTTCAACCACAATTCAAAACCAATGTCTTATTTCACTAAATTATAATTTAGCAAATTTTTATTTATTATTACTTTTTTCAGTTTCTACTTATTTGAGTGACTGTTGTGAATTTTGCCGTTTCTTTAATGAATACATTTGAGGACGACTGTGAGGATGGACCCCAACGTTTTAGCTCAAAAGAACGAGAGAGGGGCAAAGGGTGAACCATTCCTACTACGGTAATGCGCTACACTTCGGCTGCACTGCTCAGATGTTCCAGTGAAAGCTGCGGTTTGATTATTCAGCTGCTTTAATGGCTGCGAGCTGAACATTTGGAGCCGAGTGACTCACCCTCGCCGACACAGAGAGGACAGACCGGCTGAGGCAGTCAGAGCATGTGCGCCGAGCGTGAGCTTGTTGTTGGGGGCAGAGATGTTAGGTCGTGTCATTTTTGAAACAGGCGCTGATTTAAATGTCTTTTCTCTCCCTCTGCTGTGTCTGTTATTCTAAGAGGCTGGGTTAGAAGTCAGAGGGTGTAATCACATGCAGACACGTCGTACACTTCATGTGATTGGTTTCGTTAAATGATAGAGTCATAGTCCAAAATCAGAGACACGCAAAAAATGAACAGATGAGGAATGATTGAAACAATTTTGAATTTAACACAGATTTTGTTTTTGTTTACAAATTAAACGCAAAGCTGTGTGAAAGGGATTTGCTCCTGCATGCACCATCATTTGAGGCCCTCACAGTATTATGGCTTTCTGGTTGATATCTGGGGAACTCAGAGAAGGATTAGCTATAAAATCAACCACCTGCTGGAGTTCTGTGAAATTTCCAGATGCCACCATATTTAAGGATGCAAATTTTCAAAATACCCAGAAATACCCCTGTGCTAGGCTTATTAAGTTTCTGCAATCCTGAAAAGGTTTCTTTTTTTTAGTTTATTTCAATCATTATGGATAACGACGGTCTGCAAGGTGGCTCGGTGGTTGCCGGTCGCCGGCTCGCGTCCCGGTGAGGACACTCAGGATCTTTCTGTGTGGAGTCTCCATGTTCTCCCCGCTCAGCGTGGGTTCTCTCCGGGTTCTCCGGCTTCCTCCCACAGTCCACAAACATGCTGAGGTTAATTGGTGATTCTAAATT